ATTTATTGCTTATTTCTGATTTCTTATTTCTCATAGCAAATCAAATGTAATATCAATTTTACAACAATACACCCGCTGAAATTATGCTGCCCTCCCCAGCTCCACTGTACAGGTTCACAGGCACATCACATTCATGCTGATGATTTCTGGCTATGGAGAGTGTTTGCTGAGAAGACACAAAGACAAGAGCTTGTGAGGCACATGCCAAAATTATTCTGCCATATATAGGAAATATTTCTGGCCGTGAATTGTATTTGTGAAGATTGTGACTTAAACCTCAAAGGGAGAAGTCTCTTATGGTCACCAAAGCTAACTTGATTTGATAAACAAATATTTACAAAAATGTTAATAATGTAAAATATCATTGAATAAATAGTTTATAGTTTGATGTATTTCAAATGTCATTTATTCCTGTGATGCAAAGCTGAATTTTCAGCATCATTACTCCAGTCTTCAGTGGCACATGATTCTTCAGTAATCATACTAATAGGCTGATCTGCTGCTCAAGAAGCATTTCTGATTATTATCAATGTTGAAAACAGTTGCTTATTTGTATGGAGATCATTATACATTTGAGTTTCATGATTCTTTGAATAGATATAGAAAATTATATTTTATTCTATTTTAATGTAACTGTAACAGTCTTTACTGACTTTTATGATCAATTCATTGTGCCAAATATATTTTAATGTATATAAACAGACATTTTACAAGAAATACTAGATTTCATGTCAGTAATGTTAATTTAAATCAATAAATTATTTGCTGACACTTGCCAAAGACCCATTACTCAAGTTTCCAGTCTGACATTTCTTCACTGTGCTCAGTTTTTACTTATTTAGCATAGGTACACATGGATCCTGTTATTTGCAGACAAATAATATACTATTTATTACCCTGTTAAAACCCTGTTGGTTTATCAAAAAATGAGAAGACTTGAATGTTCAGTGATGTCGTGGTGTAAAAGTGAAAAAGATTGGTTTCAAAAAGCTTTCTAGAGCAAACAGTGTGAAATTTGTTTATTTTATTTGTCATTTTAAAAAAATTGAATAAAATCAACAATTCAGTATGTTCTCAATACATTTAATAAACAATGTTTATCCACATAAGGAGGCAATAATAAAATAAATAAAATTAAATGAAAATGAAAAGGCAACACAAACATATTAAATTCATTCGTGCACGAGGAGTGCAGTCGAATTCTGGCAGGCAGTCGAAATTCGGCACAACACCTGCAGGGGAAGCATACACCCTGCAGAAATAACTTCGACTGTCACTGATATAACATTATTCTCTATTTGTATACAAGCCATTAGGAGCAATGAAGCGCATGCTTCTGACGCTGTGTGCAGCTGAATCAACCTGACACTCATCACAGCTAATGAAAACATAATTTTAGAAATAAACCAAAGTGATATTGAGATTATGCCTCTGGATAGGGCGAACCCCGGTTGAAATGCATACACAAGAATGCTTATTTCATTTAACCTGTTCTCATATCTTGAGATATGAGTCTGTTATCATACATACAACTGTCTATTGTTATATACCTGTACATACAATTGTTGATTTGTATATTTTTTATTCCTTATTTTACTTGTTCTATTTTTTATTTATTTTTATTTTTTATTATCTGTGTTTTTTTGTTCTGTCACTGTCATTCTGTTACACTGTGGAAGCTTCTGTCACGAAAACAAATTCCTCGTATGTGTAAACATACCTGGCAATAAAGCTCATTCTGATTCTGATTCTGATTCTGATATCTGTTACTATCAGCGTGTCCTCAGAGCGATTTAAATGCTCTACATACTCTAGACTGCGTGTTGCTCCAGCTGTATAAACACAGATGTGTAAATGCTGCTGCAAATATGATTAATATTTCGCTCCTGCATAAGGTGCAAAACTGCTAACATCACTTAGTTTAACTTGTTATGGTTGCTATTTTTTTTTAATTCAGTTAGGCAGACCACGTAAAATACACAGCAATATGGATTAAAAGAGCATTCACTTATCTTAGATGTGGATTTCAGATGTTTCTGAAGCATGCTGCAACTGTTTGATTTGCGAGCAGCGATGCGTTAGGAGAGATGCTGAAAGAATGGAATTAAATGGACCGCTGTGATAAGTGTCACTGGATTGGTACACATCAGGAACAGCTGACAATCAGCCGATACGAGCTTGTCTGACGTGGCCTGCCTGAAACGTGATGCTTGATTTTTATCAAATAATATGTCATTAATAATAGAGGTTCACTTTCGTGATTTGGTATGATTGCATTCACACCAGAAGCGAACCATACCGGAGTTCACATGAACTGTACCCCAGACCACCCTTTTTAAGCAGACTCTGGTACGGTTCGCGGGTGCGCATCCGAGTTCGGAAGACAGCGTTCACATCATCCAAATGAACCGAACTCTGATGTCAATCGAACCAGTGTAACCCGCATCAAAAGTGCCAGTGTGAAAGCACCCTAAATATCTTGCATTTAAAGATCAATATTACTCAAAAATCATACAATCCTCATCAATAGAGACATCAAAACATATTTTAGACTAAATATTAAGAAATTTGCATCATACACAAGTAAACTAATTGTACTCCAAATAAAGTTTAATTGTAATTTTTATATCAGTAAGTCTTGAGCAGTGTTACTGTAATTAAATTACTTATCCACTGTAAAAGTAAAGTAAGGGATTACTGTTCATTTAAAAGTAATGTAATTAAGAGTTAAATACTGTAAATAATTTCAACAGTTCTAAAATCAATATTGAAATTTATCGTCGAATGCAGCCTCTTTAACCATCTGCGCACTGGCGCATTCATTTGCAGTTATTCCTGATAACAGAGAAAATAACCTATAATACTCAGCATACAGATAAGACTAAAATCAGTCGAATCTGTAAAGGGTCTACTTTTATTTGTGTACACTGACAATAACAACAAAACATTGTAAAATAAAGAAAACACACTTTCTGCCATCTCGGTCTCCGTGAACTTCTTTCTGAAACATGTCTGAAAACGAAACTAGCGAAAACTTGACACACAGACATGAGAAATATGTCTACAGAAAACTTGAAGTGTCTACATTTAAATGAACAAATTAAAATCTAAAACTAATATTCTCTGATTATGTAAGCCGTATGAAACCAATGCGACGTACAGTCTTTCCCGTCTGAGCTTATTATCTGCAGCCATACCTGCGCGCATAAGCTCTCATCACCTAGATACAAAAAACATATAACTAAAAAAAAATCAAGATTCATCTACTTTTCATCATTTTTGGAAGAAGACTCGCTATGAGGAATAAGCCGGAATTTACCTCAGAAGAACAGCGTGATCTGACGTGGCTTTATTCAGCGGAGGATATCATTTCTGTAATTTATTCTTACTTATATTAGTTAATGTGTTATTTTCACATAAACTTGTACGCATTAAACTAATTTGGCTTTAAAAATCTTGCTAAACTGAAATGTGTTAAAGCGAGCGAAACATAATATACATTCAGATATATAGGAAACTTTTTGTATTACATATAGGCAAATTTTTTTTTTTTTTGCTATCATATAATACAAATGTGATGAATGTTACAGGAATGTTTAGATCAGTGTTTACTAATATCAGATGTCAATTTTATAATGTCCTAAGCAATATAAGAATAGTTTATAAAATATCAGAATGTTTATGTACTGTGTGGTAATACAAAGCATATATGCATGAATGACAGTACAAAATCATATTTTTTAGAGTATTTCTACGTTAACCAAAGAAGGTTACATTTTTTTTTAAATAAAAATGTTTAAGTATTACTGTTGTTTTAAAGCTAAAAGGCTGAACTATTCTATGTTTGACTCAAATTGAAAGAATAAAGATTTTAATTTCTACTGTCTATGCATCAAGGTTTATAGGTATTTTAATATGTAATTAACGATTCGAGTAATTAAGTAACTTATTAAGTAATTAAATTACGTTTCAGACAGAGTAATTAGAAAAGTAATTTAAATATAATATTGATGATGTAATTAATAATTAATTACTTTTTGAAAGTAACTTACCCAACACTGGTCTTGAGCGATATGTCAGTAAATATATTAATAGATTTGAACTATATTTAGTGTGAAATAAATGTATTTTAAATATATAACTTTTTTATTGTGTTTTGTATAAGCACAATAAGGCTCATTAAATAGCTCTACACTTGAGTCCTTGTTTTCTCTCTGGCGAGAAAAGGGTGCTTGATAAATACAGTTGCAAAGGAACTAAAAATAATTTTAATTTGGCCATAATTTAGTCATTACCAACTACTCCTAAATTAAGCCCTTATCCAGGAATGCATTTGGTAATGCAACAGTTCTGCTTCTGAGCGTGCCACTAATTACATTTGAACATTGATACACTTTGTACACTTCAACTTAAGAGATAATAACTGAGCCAGCTGCATCAGGGACCTGCATGGGCTGGGTTCAATAGCAAAATGGTTAGGCTGGGAGTAAGAGTAAAACCACCAATTAGACTGCTAGAATCAATAGGGTCCAGGACTTCTGGAAATCAATTAATTTCCCCTTTTTCATTAAGATTCAAGCAATTGTTCTACTGACACAGTCAAGTGATTTAATAAAAAATTGTCAGTATCAGTAATAAAAATCCCAGGGTCACCAATAGTTAATTCTATGACCAAATTGAGAGTGTGCAAGCAACTACTGGCCAGGTTTATTAAACCTGGCAAATCAGCCTTGGACCACAATCTCATAAAAGTGCAGATGGCAGTGGAAAGTTCTGCGGGTGATCTACTAACAGAAAATCAATGCTTTCAGCTTAAAATCTCTATTCATATTGTGTGTGTGTGTATGAGAATTGTGTGCATATTTTAAGCCAAGACTACATCTTACTTAGACTATTTAATGCTTTCAGCAATATGCCACAGTTTGCTTCTATGTTTTTTCAAGAGACGGATACTTTTGTGAAATTATCATGGTTTAAGATTTTCTGAAAGATCTGATTACCTCTCCAGGGCGGATTTTGATGTAGAAATTACTCCTTTTGTAGGAGATCTTGAGGATCTTTGGCCAGGCAAAACGATTGATTCTCAGCCTGTCACGGTAAATCAATAGACCACTGGCACACACGCCCAGCATTATGTCAATCCCTTCTGAATCCTGCCTCAGAAAGAATGGGTGATTATTAAAGGCACAGTCAGCTAAATTACATAACTTCTACTGCAAGAAGTTTGCCTAATACTAACTATGTTAGTAAATATTTTTTAGAAAACATTTAAATGTTGAGTGTATGATTTCTATATTCACTAATGGCACTAATTACAAGCTACTTGCTGTTGTAGTGTCTATAACAGTTGTAGTTACAGATTGTACCACGTGATTTTTATGTACCTTAGCATGATGCAGGTCAACACCGTACATGGAGAGTTTCTTTGCATTTTCCAAGAAATTAATTTCCGCCTCAGCAGGTGTCATTCCCCTGAGAAAAAGGAAGAAAATAACCATTCTGGTTATCCAAAGGTGCCCCTGACAGTCACATGTGTGCATTTCCCAACATTTACAACAGCTTCAAACATAGCTGCATAGCTGCAGCTCCATACAGAATTTACAATCAGGACTGATTTATTCATTAAAGAACTGATATATTTATTAAAAGTTTTATAATAAAATTTTAAGAAATCAATTAGAACTATTCTGAAACAGTACATAATATTTGTTAACATTTGGTAATATTATACATCCTATCCATTGTCCAACTGCCTTTCCTATGTATAGTTTACAGGCATGCTGGAGCCCATCCCAGCACCTCAGGCCATAGGCAGGGAACATTACATATACTGGTTGTATTATTAATATAATCTGCAATATAATCTCTTTTGCATTAGACAAGTACTGTAAAATCTCTCAGAAATAAATGCAGTCTGTAATATCTCTCTCAGACCTGTAAGTTCTATGTAGTTCCATCACCCTTTCCTCCAGTTCACGAGTTTGGTTGGGGGCAAAGTGGAAGTCACTAACGTAGTCGGAGCCATGGTCATCTTGGTCAAAGTCTCCCAGTTCTGCCTGCACGGTGTAGGAACCCAGCAAAGCATGTGTGACAAAGGAACAGGGCAGACGGCCAGAGAGGATGTCATTTCGCAGCTGCAAACACAGGTAGTACCTGGAACAGAGAATATGCGCTAGAGTCTCATGAACATGCAGTCATGCACACAGACCAACGACCAAGGTGAGGATATTCATTAAATAATTAAACTAAATTTCTATTTGTTTTTCACCAAACCCTATCATTTACCCCCAAAACACTTGGATAAAAATAAACTTTTGTACTAATATTAGGACATCATCAGACTTCACTGTCAATTCTCAGTCATTTATGTTTTTTTTGTTGTTTTTTTTGTGCAGGGTAATCAGACACAGAGGGACCTACAAGTTGCAATTAAAATTATTCAACCACTTTGACCTGCAAGACAGTTTGCTTCAGAGAACAAAAGTTTATGAAACCAATTCAAAGGCATCAGTAGACTATTAGAGAAAGTTTATTAATACACATTTGAATGATTCTGAGAACGTAAAGTTGATGATGAAAAAAATCTAATTGGCTCTAAACATTCATGTTCAAACTTATTCAACCCCCAAAAGTCAAATTTGATGGAGAATCTTTATTCTTTAAAACCACAAATAAACACTGCCTGTAAGTGCTTAGAAGCTTCTGTCACCTCTCTACTGCAATCTTGGCCCATTCCTCGCCCGAAAAAGCTTCCAGATCACTGATAATCTTTGGTTTTTACATTGCTTTCTTCAAAATCAACCAAATATTTTCATTGAGAATTAAATCTGGAGACTGAACAGGCCACTCAAGAAAATTCTATGACCAATCCCTCTACCAAGCATAAGTATATCTGAATGTATACTTTGGGATGGCTGTCCAGCAGGAAAGTCCATTGATCATCAAGCTTTAGTCTCTGCATTGAAGGCATCAAGTCTTTGTCAAAATGGCCTGATACTTCAAAGAACCCATTATGTCCTTCATACAGTCATGATTTCCACTTCTTGCAACAGTAAACCACCCCCATAACAGGACTGGTCCACCTCCACATTTGACCACAGAGGTGATGTTCTTCTGCTTATAATCTTTGCCTTTTTTGCACCAGATGTACCGCTGATCCATAGGTCCAAAAAGTTCCAGTTTGGTCACATCACTCCATAAATCATTCTTCTAGAACTCTGTATGTCTATCAAAATTAATTAGTTAATTAAAATAAATTAGCATGATCAAGCCGGTCTAACATGTATGTTTTGTTTTTCCATTGTGTTGTTGGTTTGACCTAGTTTTCCTGTGTTCTAATTAGTTCATTCTGTTCAGCTGTTGTTTTGTTTATTACCTCATTATTTCCTTTGTTTGGTTCATGCTTATAAGTCCTCAGGGGCCCATTTCAGAAAGGAGGTTAAGAGAAAACTCTTGAGTATGTTAACCCAGAAATAAGGGAAACTCTGGGTTTTCCATTTCAGAATGGAAGCTTTGTCAAACCTGAGAATGCTGGGTAAGTCAAGTCCTTCATGGGATGAGTCCAGAAGTGAATCTACCCACTCAGAGAAAGAAGAAATTACTAACAGTGAAATTATCAGATCACAGGAAAGGAAGGAGGGCCGTAAACCATCTTGTGCATACTGTTGTAGTAATGATCACCATCTTAGTCATTGTCCTGAATTCCAGAGTTTTGATACAGTAGTCAAACGGAAATGTATTGCTGACAATTGTTGTTGGAGATGTGGTTGGGCCCATAGATCATCTAAATATGATGGTTCAGAAAGAACCATGCTTATATCTTCTGCTGCAGAGAGTTTAGGTCTTCATGGGGCGGCAGAATCATTGGTCCTTCGAACCATCCGACTAGGCTCAGAGAAAATTGAAGGTGCTACGGTTTCCTTTTCCAGTTTGCCAGCTTTCCATAAGCAGAGTATCAAATATGAGGAGCCTTTACTGCATTTATCTCAAATGCTTGATTTACCTGAACAGACTTATCCAGTGCAGATCCTCCAGCAATGCTATCAACATTTAAGAGGCATTCCTCTGCAGGAGTTTCAGAAGGTTAAATCTATATTACTAGTGGGAGCTGATCATCCTCCCCTTCTTTGCTCCAAAGAGCGAGTACGTTTAGGTCCTCCTGGAAGTCCAGCTGCTTTGAATACTTGACTGGTGTGGACACTGCAGGGACCTACTTCTTTGTGGTGAGAAGACTAACTCCACGACACAGTGTTTATTTTTCAAGATTCCCACTCCATGGATCAATTGCATGAGGATGTGAAGTTATTGCAAGTTGATGTACGTCTTTCCTCTCAGACTCCCAAAGCCTGCTCAGCCTTTGCCTATTGCCTTGCCTAGTACTTCTGTGATTCTTCTTTCGTCTATAACCCTGCCAGAACCATGGCCTCCACCTTTTTCAGGAGTTCTGTTATGGCCTGTATACTGTCATCTGCAACTGTTCTGTTGAAGCTTTGTTCTTTATCTAGTATCCTGTTGGGGCAGCATTGGATGGTTCTATTTGTCTAGAGTTTCCCCAGAGTCATGGTTTCCACATTTACATGTATTTCATAATGATTTATCTCCATTTAATGTAACGTTAAAAAATGTACCATTTTATACAGTTCCTCACATACAAATCTTGACTTTACAATTGTTAGAGTTGGAAAATTGTGTGAACTTTTGTGGTTACTGGTTTCATGGTTAAGAGGGATTCAGTAACAATCTGTTAAATTCCAATGGGTTTAAATGGCTGTGGTTTTCATGAATGGAAACATGTAACCTGTACATTGTTATAAAATTAATTGGTATTGTGAATTTTCTTGTATGCAAATGTTAACATATTTGGGGGCAGCTGTATAAAATTCTGCTGCGTTCTGATTGGTTGACAGTTCTGATAAGAACACCTGTGGCCTCTAACTAATTAAGCCTTAATCTCAATGCATTTGTGTGTGAGAAGCCATCTCTGCATGCAAACATGACCTGTGTGGAATTGTGTTGTTGACTAAAGTTTCTTTTTATGTATAATGTGATTTGTTTATACTGAAGTGTATTTACTTTCTTTGATCTTTATTGGATTTGTTAAAGTTGATTTAGACTTCATGTATAATTTGTGCTAATGTGTTTGTATATATTGATTTTCTATTTGTTTATAGTATACCAGAAACCAACAATTACCAGCACTTGTTACCTTGGGAAATGTCTACTCCTATATGAGAAAAATAAACTAGAAAATGAGATGATGACTGAATGAGTTTTAATGGACTCACCATTCTGGTAGCAATAGCCCAACCAGCCTAAAATTCCTTCCAATTCTCTACAAAGCTCGTTTCTGAAAGACGGGTAACTTATACTCTGAGTTAGTTCCCATGGTAACTTACTCCATGAACCTAACCTGGGGCCTGTACCATGATGGTGGCTGAACAAACTCCGTGTTATAGGATTAGTTTTGATTTGACAAAACCAAACTGATGCAATCAGGCTTAATTGGTACCATGACGCAGATAATCAACTTTCTCTGTCAACTCGGGCTTTGATCCTTAAGCTATGATTACGCTACTGGCTAATCATAGTACATACTGGCACATAAAAGAATGACGTCGGCACCGAACAACCAATCGCGTTCAATATGGATAGAGCGAGAGCTGTATATTTTCCCACGGAGGAGCAAGAAATAATTATTCAAAAATACGAGGAATATAAACACGTCTTTCAAGCATGCAGTAATACTGTCTCTGCTGCCAAAGCACGAGAAGAGTGTTGGAGAAAGATCGCTGATGCGTAAGTTAAACAAATACATTCAATAGGTTATTAATTAAAAGTGTGCTCGTGTATATGATGGTAACCCTTTACAATAAGGTTGTATTTGTTTAGAGAACTTAATGCATTAGCTAACATGAATTAACAATGAACAATAGTTTTTCAGCATTTATTAATCTAATGTTAATTCCGATAGAGTTGTTCAAGTTACTCGTGTTACTTCACTGTGCATTAGACGTAATGTTAACAGTTAGAGTTTTATTTTAAAAGTGTATTAAATGCTGAAATTAAAATGTACATATGTATACTATATGTATGTATAAATGTATTTGTATATAAAAATGTGAATGTATATTACATCAAAGATTAATATTCATTGATTTTTAGATGCAACCCCAACTACAAATGTTCTTGGCAGCAGATAAAGACAAAATATAAAAATATAATTCAAAGTGGTGAGTATTTATAGCCTTTTATTATTTTCGTGAACATTTTCACAACCTTTTTTTGCAGCAAACAGAAAAAAGTGTGACGTTCTGAAAATACACTGTGGCAGAGAAGTTGGCTCTGAGTAGCAATAAGGGGTGGCCGATTATGGATGGGATTACAGGTGCTGTACAATCTGACCCTGGTGCTGGCTCCTCTAAGCAAGTGACACTGGGTATGTGTGCAATGCATTACTACGTTTTAAAAGTTTTACATGTGGCTGACTGTATGTTCTGCAGTAGAGGGAAATACTTCCTGTTGAAGCCGGCACACGTTCACACAGTCTCCCACACAGAGGTTTACATTTGCCTGCTTTTATTTATTAGGGCGAAGCAAATGACGAAGACACCCTCTCTGTGTGTTCTGAAACCGTTGCTGAGCTGAATGCATTTGACTATTTTTTTTATTTTTATTTTTTTTTATGGCACACATTTGAATGTGTCACACAAATGTGACTGGCCCTTATCTCTTTTACACTGCAAAAATTGCTTATCTTACTTAGTATTTTTGTCTTGTTTCTAGTGAAAATATCTAAAAATTCTTAAATCAAGATACTTTTACTAGATAAGCCAATTGACTTAATATATTTAGTCTTGTTTCCAGGGGGAAAGAAACTAAATTAAGTGCATTTTTGCTTAAAACAAGTAAAATTATCTGCCAGTGGGATAAGTAAAATACTCCTGTTTTAAGAATATTTTACAAAAATACTAAGTAAGATAAGCCATTTTTTGCAGTGTATTGTAGGATTTTTCACAACCTGCCCCAGAAACTGAGGCCTCTACCTCAATGGGCTTCAGAAGGAATGTGAACAAGTTAATGCTTTAAACCTTTCACATAAATTACAGCCAGTCCTGTGCCTGTATTAAGTCATGCAATTTGTGATTTGACTTGCC